GAAGACTGGGGGGACCTTATTGCTCTGTACACCTTGCTGAATGGAAGTTCTAGGGGTGTGCAAGTTGGTGTCTTCTCTCAAGTAACAAGCAACAGGAAAAGACCAAACAGCCTCAAACTGTGCCAGGGGAATTTTAGCTAGGATATCAGGGAAAAGTTCTTCACCAAGAAGGTTGTCAAGCACTGGAACAGGCCGTTCAGGGAAGTGATTGAGTCACCATCCCTGCAGGTATTCAAAAGAAGTGTAGCTGTGGCACTTAGGGACTTCATTTAGGGACTTCAGCCCTGCGTGGCTTGGCAGTGCTGGGTTAAGGGTCGGATTCAATGATTTTAAAAGTCTTTTGCAACCTAAACAATTCTATGATTCTATAATTGCACACCTCTTACAAACTGTCAGCTTAATAGCCAGGCTTATAATCATTATCGTTTTTGGCATTGTTTTAAACTTCTGTTTAGGATAGACACCTTTAGAAGATGTGGTAGTGTTTTTACATCAAAAGCAGGGTCTCACAATAGTGAGATTTGCCTAACGTAGAACTTTCAGGGTTCTGATGTCCAAGTTAGCAAAGAAGAAACTTTCAGTGGAACTGTGGCTTGTAGGTTCGTACACTGATACAGGAAGAATATAACTTGTATGGATGCTACCACACTTAACATGTCTGGTTACAACTTTTTCACCATATTACATAGTTTTGGGTACCTCTTTGCTATCTTCCCATTGAAGTTAAGAGTAAAACTTCTTTAGAGAGGAGAAGACTCGTAGTAAATTATTTGAAAATTCTTTTATTTTATGCATGTGATATCAATGAGAATAGGACTGAACAGCAAAATGCAAGAGTCTCTCTAATGGTAAGAATTAATTCTTGCATATTTTGTGGTTTTCTTCACATCTCTTTTAATGTTTTGCAACATAAAACAAATACTCTAATAGCTACTTTTACAATATAAATGTACATGCAAAGAAAAGTTATATTTTCAGGATCACTCTCTTCCCTGACTGCCTAAGATGAAAATTAGCAGCCAAATAATTATCTGTTAATAACTTTTTTATCTGACTAAATATAACAATAAAATGCAGGAAGAATTTCTAGAGACATAAGCCTTTAGCAGACCATGGAAAGAGAACTAGGGAAGGCAGCAGATAGAGAGGAAAGAACTTCAACAAACTATTTTTGCTCTTGCTACTGCTTCTGTGAAATCGTTTTTAATTGCTTCATAATTTGGCTTTTTCTGCAGCTGTGCTGTTACATTTAAACTTCTTTAATCAAAAATTTTGTGGCATCTATACCAGAAACTGGAGCAACAGTTTTTATCATTGGAATGAATTTGCCCTGTTGATCCAAGTGAGCAATAATGACTACATCAGTGCTGAAGTAATTGAAGGTTCTCAAAACTCTCTTCAGGACTCTGACTTTAATATTGCTTAAATCTTAGATGTTACATGTTTATGTTGTTTCTGTTATTTATGTTAGTTATGGCTGTTCAGAGATTTTAGAGCATCATTTATATGATATGCAGTGTGCTTTAGAAGTTATATTATTACTGCCATTGTGCGTTGCTCTTATCATTGTCATTAAAGTAGCAGTGTCTATATCCTCCAAATAATTATCCTCAACCAATCCAGCAAGTGATACATCCAATCCTTCATATTTAAGTTATGTTTGTATGCCATTAGAAAAGGAATCTGACTTCTATTGATGTATCGATTATTTAATAAAGTGGTGTTGGCAAGGAAGGGAATAGAAAATACCTAAAAGAGAAGACTTGTATTCTGATGACTATTTTGGACTTACTTTCTTGGGAAACGAAGCAGTTTCTGTTTTATTCTGAAATCAAAGGATGAAATTCATAGAGGAGAAGTACGTATCACATTCTGAGCCTCTTGATTTGCAACATACCAGTAAAGCATCAGTAAAAAGTCAAGAACCTACTAAGAAGTTAATTAACTGCAAGGTAACTGCTAAGGGGGACCATAAGGCATGTCAAAAGAGGTAAGTGCAGACCTCTTTTATCAGATTCAGTCTCTTCCACATATCTGGTTCATTCTATTACAACACAAACAAAAAACCACAACAAAACCCAAACCCTTAAAACTCAGCAAAATCAACAGTTATCAAGGTCCAGTAAGAAGCTTAGGTAACACTTCCAAGTGCAGTCAGAGTAGAAAAATGAAATAACTAATTGTGTTTCCACTATTTAGATCAGTGACTGATGTGAGATACAGAAAAAATAAATGCAGAATCTGAAGGGACTTGGAGAAATGGTATTCTATTTTGCCATGAGACTGTTGCAATGTGTTAAAAATTATGCCAGTGGAGATAGATGTAATGATCAAGTGAGGTAGTCAAAGGCTTCCAGTAACATCAGTTTATCACAGGTTTCTGCAGTATTTTCTGTAGTAGATACTGTTTAAGGATGTATGCATGTGTAACAGAGATGTGAATAAATATATATATCCATAATTTACTGTAGTGCCTGTATTCACAGCTTGTCCTACAGGTTTGCATTTGATCTGTTCTGGCAGGTTATGGTTTGCTGACTCATGAGGGTTTCTTCAGGCAGTTATATCTTCACTGGTTTCCTGATTTATAGAACTGTAAAATGAATAAGAAGTCCTGCATGATGATGATGGGAAAAATAATAACCATGTCTGAGTTTTGTATTTTTTTTCCCAGATTTTAACCTGTATTATGCAACTTGACAAATAGATTCGAAACAGTGTTGTTGTTTACCTTCTAAGCCTAGGGCTTCTGCTTTCTTACAGATGGGTTTACAGTCCTGTAAGACTAGGGCTGAGAATGCTGTTGGATAGATTATGACTATGCAGCAAAGTCAGTAATGTCCTCCTAGGAAGGCGGGGCACAGTGCCACTTGATGCATCGGTACTTGTGAGAAAAAAGTATTTGAAAACACTTAGTCTTACAGCACAATCCTTCCAATTCCAGACCAAGGCCCAGGAAAGATCCAGTCCTACGTTTCAATGACAGATTTTTATTTTTCATATCAGTTAATGACTGTCTATTTGCACAAAATTCTGGGTAGGACCCTGCGTGCCAAGATCTGAGTGTCACTACTGATTATGGCAGACCTCTTTGTCTTTTCTGTTTCATATCATCTGGGGATTAGGAAGATATCAGCTCTTTATTTATGGGAATTGTTTTTGCCTCATGTTAAGTCATATATTGTTATGTGAATAAGCAGCATGTAAATGGATATAATAAATGCTGCTGAGAATGTTTGCATAGATATTGCCAAAATGGTTTCAGCCAAGTACTGTTAGTCATTAATTTTTCCTTCTCTTCCTTTTTACAGGCTGATGTTCTATAGAACTTTTCTGATTTCTTCACAGATTTTTATAGTTTAACATATTTTTCTCACATATTCAATATTCATTAAGATATTTGCATAAGAATAGGTCCTTGCTGATAATAAGCATGTTACCATTTATAAAAAAAGAAACTTAACCCCTGGGATTGGAGTATTTGTTTACTTCTGAGGACTTCTGATTTCTCTGTCTTTATCCCGCACAGTGTACGCTAGGGTAGCATCTTGCTTATCCAACACAGGAGTATTTGGCCAGGTTCCACCTGGTCCTTGTCACAGACACTCAGGAAAAAAGGATAAGGATCGCCATAGACACTTGATTTCTGTATTTCTCATGCTCTTTCAATGGAAATATTCCTCCTGGTTACTCACAGTCTCTCTTGGCCAAAAGCAAAAGCAAGGCTAGTTCCTGAATTTGAGACTCTCCTTTTGTGGAGGAAAAAACTAGATTTTGATTCCTGTGTATATTTTTTTGTGAACTGTAGGAAATCCTCTTTTAAAAATCATAAATATTGAATATAGTCACATAATTTCTGAGATTTTTCTCTTGATATTGAAATGGACAGTCAAGATTATTAATCTGTATATACTAGAGATGTTCAATTCAATGTAATAAATGTGCTTCCTCTTTACTTAGCAGAATTAATACTTTCAAGAAGACATCAATTTAGGCTCATACAATTTCAAAAGGGATAAAATTTTGAGGATACAGATATTAAAGCAAATGGTGTTCATAGAGGGGAAAAAGGCATGAAAATGAGATTTACTTCAGATAGGCACCTAATTGTTCAGATGCATTTGAGAAGTTTGCCAAAGTAATTGAATAACAAGTAAAAGTCTTGTGAGATCACATGCTTTTACTAGGATTAGACCTACCTAGATAACATTTTTTTAAGCAGTCAGGAGGGCAGGTATGCATGATATATTTACCTTTCCATTTCAGAGCCTCCAGAGCAACTCTGTTATTGACTTCAGAGAGAGCATTCACTTCTGAATAGAAACATAATACTGTCTTTTTTAAAATCACCATATCTGACTCTCATGTCCTTAGCAGGGATGTCATGTTTAGGAAAACAATGATTCCCTCAGGACTGGTTTCTCATTTGGTACTTCAAAAAAATTGTATGTCTCAAGGGAGCTCCTAAAGGCATCATCAACTCCATTTTTCCTTCTACTCTCATTTGTTTTGATATTATGAATCCTACAACTCCCTAGCATATCATGGGAGGTTGCTGAAATACATGCTCTTGCTGTAACTGAGATGTGAAGGAAGGGAGTCTTATTTAGGAATTACTACTGCCCCTTGCTCAGATGTCCCAGCTATTTTATTGCACACTTTACATACAGATTTTCTTGTTTATCTGACAGTTCATTATTTAAAGCCAGCTTGTCAAAATAGGTTAAATATTCTTTGGGAAACATGGTCACATCTTTGAGACACCACAAATATTTTTAATATGAAAAGATTGGCTTGATAAGAGAAACATGATAAACTTGCATCCCCTAAAATACTTCTCTGCTTTTTCATGTGTTATTTCTAAGAGTATCAGTGGACAGATGACAAACTTCATGGCAATAAAAGTCCGGGAGAAGCCAGAGAAAGAGACACCAGCAAAGCAGTGAAAATGATTGCTGATTATTTGTTCTAACTACTTGACCTTGTGACATCTCCCCCAGATATATGACCAGGATGGGACACTGCAGCACTTTATCGATGGTGGAGAGCCCAGTAAGTCAAGCTGGATGAGGTACATCCGATGCGCCAGGCACTGTGGGGAGCAGAACCTAACGGTGGTTCAGTACAGGTAAAGTCATCTTTGCTTCCCCCGACGACACGGAATTAGAATGTTTTATCAGCCTGTAGCCATCAGCAGCACTGCTGCCTTTGATTGCAAAAACAGTGTCGGAGCTTTGGAGGATGTGCTCGCACACACGGGGCAGCGCTCGCGGGGTGAAGCTCCCGGGAGCGAGGGCAGCCCTGTGTCACTTGTGTGACCACCCCGCCACACGGAGCTCTCTGCTCTTCTTCAAACACTCTCGTCCAGAGGCAAGCCAACACAAGCAGTTCTCCACCCTTAATCGAGACGAGTGTGGTAGGGGAGGGGGAAAAGTGGCACCCAGGGGCATCCTGAGGGTCAGTCACGAGGCGTGTATACATCTCCAGCTTTTTTGTTGAGTGCACCTGCTAGCCGAGATTGCTGGAGCTTGTACCTCTCACGCTGCTGGCCAGAGAAAGTCAAAAGGTGAAGAAAAATGTAAAGAAAATATGCATTTTACTTTGTACTTGCAAATAGATCCAGAAAACCCAGACAACATATTACATAAATACATGATCTCAGCTGTAAACAAACCTTTTGCCTTAGAATCAGAAGCGACTGCTTGGCCTTATTAAATGTGGTAGAAAGCACATCAAAGAATGCCCCGGGCTTGCCAGTTGCAGTGAGCAATGATCTTTGCTGGTTGCTTTAGAGAGCAGAGTTTCTTTTATTTAGGAAAAATCTTAAACTTATTTAAACTACCTTTAAAATTAAAAATAAAACATACAAAAGCAAGCTAAAATGAAATATATAAAGTTTGATTAACCCATAGGGATCCAATTTAACGATGGTAAAATTGTTCAATTGCATTTTCAACTTTTTTTATTCTCTGGCCAGTTGACTAAACAATGCTGCAGTTAAAAAAATAACAGTCCTATTTATACGTTACAAATCTTTTATTATATGCTTAAATATCTGCTATCTATAGCTAAAATACCATCGGATTTTAAATAAACACAGTGGATAATGAATGAAGATTGTTGTGACAAAAGAGTATTTTTGTAGGTATCTTGTGGACTGTTTCTCTATGTGGTGATGTGTACGTGCACACATATATATATAAAAAAAAAGAAAAAATATATGCACACATATATATATATATATAGATGACAAAACTAAATGAAAAGTGAACATGAGAAAGTCATTACACATCTGTCAATATTAAGTGGATTTTACAACTCTCCTTTCATGATGGAGTTTTTACTTAGAGTTCCCTCTGTTGATCTGTTTTCGATTACTTCAGATCTTTATAAAATGAACTACAAAAACACAATTTAAAAAACTGGCATCCATCACCAGTGACTGCATCCAAATGTAAGAAAATAGAAAAGTTGGACGCTGAAAAACCAGCCTAATTTTTATTGTACATGGACGTCCTCCTCACAGAAAGTCAGCTGGTTTAAATTCATTCTGTTATGATTTGTAATATCTAAATGGAATTTTCTTCAAAGTGCTCTTGATTGATTGACCCTTAGCTGAACGTTTTGTTTTTATTTTGAGGCTGACAATAATGTTTGTTGGCATGTGTTCTGCTTCAACTGCGTTGGGACGCCATGAAGCTATCTTTATGAGTCATCCAACCACAATACTAAATACATGTCAGCAAAGGAAATATTATCCGAAAAGGGAAAAATCCCTTTGATGTACTTCAGCATGCAGAGATTTCTGCGAGTTTTGGAAGCTCTGCACACTTGTAAGGGACGGTGTACACTTACACATTTTTTTCCCTGCCTACTCCAAGCCCCACAGACCACCCATTGCTCAAAAACAGTTCTGCTCTTTCAGCGGCAAAGTGTGTCATTTGGTTTTAGCACATTCATTTGCCGGGCTGCTGTGTTTATGTTAAGGGAAGCCAAACTGAGAGATGAAATGTTACAAGGGTGAAGTACAAAGTAGACTCAATTTTTCTCAAGTTAAGAGATGCCGGTAATTTATAGCGTGGCTCCGATTTTCATTTTTATGTAACGGTGGAAAGAATTAACTAAATGCAAAGCTCTGGGAAGAAAGAGAGAGAGAGAGAAGAAGAGGAGGGGAAGGAGGAGGAGGGAAGATGAAGGGGAGACACAAAGGGGAGAGTTTTTGTCAGATATTCATAGAAGGCTAAGAAAACCGTTCTGCTTAGCTAGCAGTGCCCTCCTGAGACAGGGTGGCAGTAAGCGAGGAAAATAACAAGATAAATGAAATTTTTGCAGCTGCTAGTAAAATATTGAGAATCTGCACTTTTTTATTGATCTTTATGATCCTGTTGCCAAGAGCCACTTTGCGGTGACAAAATATGTTGACAAGTGCATATCTCACTGCCATGAAAAATGTGGTAGAAGATTCTCCTTATGTCTGCAGTGTTATACAAGGAACAAATTGCATTGCTACAGCCAATTCTTTATAGAAAGTCTAAATTTAAGGCTACCAACCCTAAACACTTTTATCTTGAACTTCAGAATAATGTTTGTAGCAATTCTTCACTCAGAAAACTGGTTGAGGCCTAACTTCTCTCTCTCTCTCTCTCTCTTTTTTTTTTTTCCTATAGATGTTTTTCTGCCTTACATAAGCTGTTATAAAAAATGGTCATTTCTTAGTAGTTTGACTGTATCACTTTGGTATGTAATCCTTCAGCAAGAGTGGACTGTTCTTCTTGTATATATTGAATTTCTATCCATCTCACAGGAGTGTGTTTTACTGTTCCATGTGAGGCATAAGGGAAAAGCCACTGCAAGCTGATAACATTTGTCTTTTATCTTGTGCCTGATTCTAATCTTACACAGTTTTTGCTGCCATGTAAATGTCTTAACTGCAGAAATATCACTCTGAAGCTATTTACATCACTGCAAAATCAGGATAAGGGTCTTGATTTTATGCTAAAGACATTAGGATTTTTCCCCACCCTCAATTCCCACTTCAGTAGTCTAGAAATATTCAGTCTTCTCTCACAGGAACAATGAGATATCACACTTATGGTAACACTGATTCAAACATACCAAATCATTGGCACTGGCCTCATGTAGAGGGGAAGATTTTAGTGCTGCATGGTCCAATCAACCCCAATTTTTTTATTTCCCCTAAGTCAAAGTCTGTTTTTCTCAACAACCCAAGATCTCTCTTTCAGTGGTATATTAGTTCCATGAACGGTCACTTCACACTACTTCAAAGGTCTTGCTAAATTAACTTATTCACATAAAAGTGCTGTTGTCTATTTACCATAAAATATGTTAACTTTAGCTCAGATGACAAATACAAAGCTGTTTGAATGACTGTACTTGCTGATCTGTGTACACCTGTCAGATAGTTTATACTGTGTAAGCAAAACGTGCCATTCTAAAATCCCCCTGAAACAGACATTGCAAGAAAATACGTGTATTTTTATAGTATCTTGGTCCTTCTAAACCCTTAGCTTTTAATGTATGCTAGATACAACTTGTTGTAATGTTGTTAGCCTGTGCTACAGCAACGAAGTCCTTCTCGACAGATTTGTTTTTAAAACAATCTAAGTTATTCATTTAGTTATCTGGAGAAATGCTTCCAAAACAATGAATTTCTACTGTAATACCATGTACTATAAGATGAGAATGATCTGTTCCTAAATCATGCAATGTTTTCTTTTTTCTTGATTAGGTCGAATATATTCTACCGGGCTTGTATAGATATCCCCAGGGGCACTGAGCTGTTAGTGTGGTACAATGACAGCTACACATCTTTCTTTGGAATCCCTCTCCAGTGCATTGCACAAGATGAAAATTGTAAGTTCTGCCTTGCATTTCTACCTGTGTAAGCTATAATTCCTCTTTCATGCCTAATCAGATATATCATAGAGTATTTTAGGGAGACCTCTGTCCCTGGGACTTCAACACCAGTCTGGATGGAGCTCTGAGCAATCTGTTCTGGTGGTGTCTCTGCCCATGGCAGGGGACTTGGAACTAGATGTTCTTTAAGGTCCCTTCCAACTAAAACCATAAGTGATAAATTAATCAATCCATTGTAAACAAGTTTGTTTGGTTCTCCCCATTGTTACCAGACCTATCACAAAACACTGCCTTGCCAAAACAGTAATGCATTGCAAGCCCACAGGGTCTCTGCTGGTGATTCCTTTTTCTATTACCTCTGAGCATGTTGAGAAAAGCTTTGGCTGGCTGATTCAAGAGGTTAGATCCTGTGGTTAAACATAAAAACCTACTTTAAGAAATACTGAGTGTACGTACCCCAAAATGACAGTAAATCTCTATGCCATCCTGACCATCCCCATTTTCATCCATTCTTTTGCCTGTTCTCAACATTTTATTTCTATTTTTATTTTATTTTTATTGCTAGTGATCCCCACAAAACTAAGCATGCATGGATACTTATAATACAGGCAAAATCTAGTGGTGGATACCTTTGTCTGTTATAGAAATGGGTGATCCAGGCATATTATTCAATTTTACTGCTTGTGTGTGAGACTTGTTTAGTGCTTATATCCATTTTGGCAATTATATATATCTATGCAGTGGAAGAAAACAATAATGGACGGGTTGGCTTTGGTCTAAAGTAACCCTGTGACTGCCCACACTTAATAAATCACGTCAAAGATGTATGCTTTTGGTCCTACGCTTGGATACTTAAACAGGATGAACTGCTAGGAGGAACTAGTGTCTTGTAGAAACTTCAATACTGAATCATTCAGCAATTAAACAGCAAGATAGCAGGGATTAAACTGTCGAAAATAAACATCCTTTCCCATCTTGAGTTTTCAAGTCTGTTGGGCTTGAGAAAATTTTAAAAGAAATTTAGTTATTGGCAGAAATATTTGCTGATGAAAGTCATGCTCCGCAGACTACAATGTAGAAATATTTTTTTCTTTCAGGAACTGAAGACTACAAAATTTTTATTTGAAAAGAAAAGCATTATGGCTAAAATCTGTAACTATTGTTTCTTGCTGTTTTTCAGTGAGACAAACCAGAGTTTCATCCACAGAGACACTGACATGAGTAGTTGAAATTAATCTTTGACCATGGAGCCAGCTGCAGACTGACATAGGACTTAAGTCCCTCTTAAACTCCCAGAATGTACCTTCTGCTTATCTTCTGCACAGGGGTATTGTCAGCAGCACAAGTTCTGCCTGTATTCCTTAAGCCTTCAGTAGCCTGATCTCATTGCTTCTGTGAACTTTTATGAGCGCAATTTAAAGAAAATAAAAAAGTGATCTCCTTCTTCTGACTACCTTGACGCAAAATGATAGTATACAAAATGCTCCTGGTACTGAAGAGACATAGATGTATTCTGTGTCTGGAAACTTGTGATAGACGGCTCCATGGATGTAACTATTTAGAAATTATGTTCTCAGATACTACAAGAAAGAATAGATTAGGAAGAACCTCAACTGACATAAATTAAATATCTTGTAATAATATAATGTTGGAATTGCTATGACTGATCACAGATATTAGAACATAACTCTATAGCAACTGGTAGGATTGAAAATATTATCAAATATTAATTTGTGGGGGTTTTTTCGGGGGGGTGGTTTGTATATTAAATAATGTTGGCTGATTCCAGCTTACAACTGAAATTTAATTCTCATGTTTGCTCTTAGAAATCTATCATCATGAGTTGGCAAAACAGAGTTATAATTTCTAATCACCTGTTTAATATATGCTATGTACCGATTTGCAGATATAAACAGTTTGTGACAGTAACTAAATTTGTGTACATAGATTTATACGTATATAACATATTTAATTTTAAAATTTCCATTAAAATATTAGCTCATGAGCCTAAGTGTGCCAAAATTAGAAATCATTAGAAGTTACTTGGTCCAGGTGGCCTAAATTATGTTTAGTTTTGCATTGTGGTGCAAGCTTTTGTCAGCAGACTATTTTTTCACAAGACCCTTGCCTCATTCACTTTATGATCTACATAGTTCTCAAGGTGTGAGGCAGCTGTTCAATTTCTTCTACTTGCTTGACCTCCTGCCTTTCTTATCACAAAACATTCAAATTCAGCACTAAATCACTTCTTTGTGAAAAGCGTATTGCATTTGTTGCTGAAATATCTGAGTACCTCATAAGCCATAGTTAATTAACGATCATATGGCTAGAAACAATTTTCACGGGACTTTAAAACATTTTTTTGTCTGTTTTGTAGGTGGGAAACTGATGCACAAAGATCTCTCTGCCTGTACTTTTTGTTTCATGGTGACCTACCTGCTATTAACCTCAGGCATAAGATACATGATCAAGTCCCTGGTTTCTTACTGCGTTGGCAGTGTGACTGTTTGTGAGATGTAAAAGTAAAATATCCTTAGAGTCTACCCTTTCATAGGATAAGGGAACTATTGCTGCAGTATCTCAAGGAGTGTCCCAGCAAGGATTTTTTTTCTCCATGCTCTCAAAGTCCATGCTTGTCTGTGATATAGCAGTCAGACATGCTGACTACAACATGCAGAGTCAGGGTATCACAAGTGGTGCAGCTTTTTCTTTCAGATGACAATCCCATAGTGTAATAAATATATATCACAGTCAGGCTGTTCTGGGTCCTTTCAGTCTCAGACACTCTCTTGCACAAATTTTCATTTCAGTGTCACAGAATCAGCACCATCCATTTAGATCACTATCTCGTTCAAGCCCTTCTTTTCTTTTTTTTTTCTCTTTTTTTCCCGTTTTTTTTTTCTTTTTTCCTTTTTTTGGTACATTGTTAAAATAAAATTGTTTCATTGTAGTGTCAAGAAAATGGATGTTGATTTTTTTTCTTGGTGTCTCCCAAAATTGTATTAGTTTTAAAAAGGCATAAAAAGGATCTTATTTACTTTTCTTGTTTTCTCCCAGTGAATGTCCCTTCGACTGTAATGGAGGCCATGTCCAGACAAGACACCCTACAGCCATTTAATAAAAGTAGCAAACTATCCCCTGCCACTCCACAGCGATCCGTAGTATTTCCACAGACTCCGTGTAGCAGAAATTTTTCTCTCCTGGATAAGTCTGGGTCCATCGAGTCAGGATTTAACCAGATCAGTGTCAAAAACCAACGAGTTCTTGCAAGCCCAACTTCAACAAGCCAACTAAATTCTGAGTTCAGTGACTGGCATCTTTGGAAATGTGGGCAATGCTTTAAGACTTTCACCCAGCGGATCCTCTTACAGATGCATGTGTGTACGCAGAACCCCGACAGGTAAAGCCCAGGCTCTCTTTATTTCTGTATCTACTGATAGCCAGATCCACTGCTTTATTCTTTTATCAAGCTGTTATCATTTTCAAAACCAAACCATTATTATGAGGAGCCTGTATGACATAATTCATCTGCAGCTGCGTGAAGTAAGCTGATAAAAACGATTGCTTGCCTTCACTATTTGTAAAAACATTCTGTGCCTAAATGTGCAGATAAAAGGAAATAGCTAAGCATATAATCTTGTTTTTAGAATGGTTTGGTACATCTGATGGAGGCAACAAAATAGAATGAAAATTTATGAATATAATAGATGGAAAAAATGAGGTCAAGATAATTAAAAGTCTCTCTGTCTTCCAAAGATAATCTAACTTGCTGCTCAGTGGCTGTCACAGTCATTTCAGGGTTCACCTATAGTGTGCAATGCGTATGAACTTAATTAAGTACTAAGAGGTAATGAATTGGAATTTTTTGCTTAGTACTATTTTTCTTCATAGCATGCAAACCCATAAATCGTACAAAGCTGTCAAAAGGAAATACCTACTCCACCAGTGATGTGGAGGAAAACAGATGCCACTTATTCAATAAACTAATATCCACACAGAAGAAAAATGTTGACTAGATACCTCAGAGTCAAAGTTGGTTTGAAAGTTTGTCAATACAGAATTTTATGGCTGTGAACTGAGGATGAAATTTAGCTGAACAAGTGAATTAAAATTTCAGGTACTCTGACCGGTGGCACAGTAAATATAATGGAACCATTATTTATGAATCAAAGCTGGTTTATTTGACAATTTTGATAGCTGACAGGACAAAAGACAAAAATCAAATTAATTCAATAAAAAAGGCTGCCCGTGTTTTGTCTCTTCTTCAGCTGTGAAGATTTGAGCAGAACAGCTGAATCCCTGGAAGGTTGTTATAAAAGCAGCATTTAATTGTGAATTACAGTTAACAAAACACTACCAAAAAATAGCAAAGAGTGAGTCTGTGCATGTGTTTGTGTGCATGTCTATGTCTCCTTTTGTATTTTGTGTACTATCTACACGTGCACATATGCTTGTGTGATTCTATGGGTATGGAGAGAATAAGTCCATTTTTCCAAAAGAAATGTTAAGCATGAAAGGGGCTAATTAGTTTCCAAGCTAATATTCATAAAAATTAAAGAACTGATAATATTGTGAATGCAAACAAGCCCTTTTAACGCTTCTCTGGATTTTGTACTTGCCTCAGCAGAAGCAAATGCCTTGCCAAGGAAGCTGTAGGATGAAACTGGTAATTTAATAGACTATTGTTCCTGGAAGGTCCCCTCTCCTACATATCACGGACTTTTGTGCTTCTAGTGTTAAAGCATCCTAAGCATACTGTAAAGCATAAAACAGTGCATCCGTCTGGAAGAGTCTAGAGTCTAGAGACTGGAAAAGGCATGTTGTGAGGCCCTCCACATACTTTTTCAGTGATTCATCCAATCAGGTGTGACACCTAAATGTCATCCTTTACTTGAACCTGTGTCTTCCTTTATGAAGAATCAAGGTGCAGTGCAGATAATAGTAAATGCAAGAAGAGTCTCTCTTAATGGCACTGTTCTTCTCTCTAAGTGACAGCTAAATATTCATTTTGTCGTGAAAAGAAAATAAGGATAAGTCTGTCTTACCATTGTATCTTTCATCTTGGAGGTGAGAGATTAATTTTTTAAAATTAAAATTACATATTTTTATTTATTTCCTCCTAAGCAGCTTGTGCCAAATATTGTCTGAAACACAGTGGATTTCTGTTCTTCACTCTTAAAAGTGAACATTTTCATTAGTAGGGTGCTGATTCATGGTGTCTTACCTCTCAGTCCCTCCTGTGCCTACCCAGCCAGCAGCTTCCTTCAGGAAAGTCTGGGGCATTGTCAGCTCAGAATACCCCAGGGCATAGTAGGAAATCATTTTGCTATGATTAAGGTCATTGCAATTAATGCCATGTTTGAAATTACCATAAATAATAGGTACTGCCCTAGGATCTGGGTTCTCATATCCCTGCTTAGAAACATTACAGTTTGAGCTTACATCACAGGAAACTTTTTGTCTTTTATCAGGTACCAGTTATTTAGTGATACAGTGTCTAGAAAAAGTGGCCTTTGGTTTCTTAAACATACTGCATTTTTCTAGGTGAAAAATTTTTACAGTGTTGTACAAAATTTTCGGGGGACATGAAAGTAAAGCATGATTTGTGAGAGAATACCTGCTTGCCAGCCCAACTGCAACTCTCTGGTTTTTATTTTCTCAGTGACATCTGCTGCACTGCTCCAGCTGATAAACAACTCTGCATTTATTGTCAGCAATTTGTGAGCACACCAGTCACTGCACCTTTGATGTGACTGAAGCAGCAGGGCTGTTCCCGTTGTCTCTAGGAAATAGACTTTAGTCTATCTGTTCTGGCATGGGACTTGTATTGCAGCAATGCTGTGCGGGGAAAACACCTTTGAATCTATGCAGGAGTCCAGTTAATGGTCTGAAATTCGAGAAAAGCACACTACTTGAAGCTTGAGAAAACCAAACAAAAACAATAAAACTACTGAAATTAAGAAAACATCTAAATGAGAGCAGACATAAACCAGGCCACAATATACATGATTTCATGAAGCAGTAAGAAATAAATGATTCTATTTAACAGGCAGATCACTTAATAAATATAAATAATTTTAAAATATTATGAATCCCAAATAGGAGACATTATTAAAATCATCTGCTGTGCTTTTTTAATTTCAAGGTTAAAATTTTAATTTAAAATCACTTTTAATTACTTACTGGTTTACTTATATAGTTCTCCCTTTCTACCACATATTTTTACCTTGTTATGTTTTGTAGGGCTCCTCTTTGAAATTAGTGGTAATTGGGGTTAAAGTGGGTGTGGGAGGTGGAAATTCAAATCTGTAAAATCTTGAACTCAGGGACCTTCTGAGCCTTTGAGACTTTTTTTAAGCCTTGATGAGACAGAAGCTGTTTGAGAAGATATTTATGGAAATACATATTTTTAGAGTTTTCTATTTGTTTATTTTGTTGGGGGCTAATTTTATACATATATATATATTTTTATTTTTTTTTTTAATTATTATTCCCTCCATTCTGCCGCAGAAATTCCCAACAATCTTGTTTGGAAGGCTCGAAAACAGGGTAACCAAAACTTTATTACAATGAACAATTTTTACAGAAGTTGATCTTGGTTTTGTTTAACAGTAACCACTTTTCTGATAATGACAGTCTTTTTTAATGACATCACTCTTTCATATCACTATGATAGACTTAGATAGATTTAGGATAGACTGGTGTTGAGGGAAGGCAGAAGTCTTCAATTCTCAAAAGTTCTGCATGGCACATTTTCATGTACAACCTATACATTGGTGTGATAGATATTCTCATTGATTGCCAGGTATTCAAGCTGAGAATCTGAGGGAAAGCACACTCCATAAATGTGTTCATGGATGATAGTTTATGGGTGTGATCTGGCACTCACAATTCTTCTTTACTCAGAGGATATTATTATACTCATGTTTTGCAATATTACCTCTATATTAAATAGCAAGCTTGTTTTGTTTTTCTTAACAGGAAGTTGAAGTTACGAGTTTAATAGGTGTTCTTCTCTAAGATCATGGCTTAGTCCATTTTGTGTTTATATTTTCTTCATAGGTTCTGTGTCTTTGACCTTGATGTTCTCCCTAAGTCTGCTAATTGATTTGAACTAAGTCTCCAAAACAGACTTAGGAAAAAAAAGTGTTTTCAGCAAGATTTGTCTATTTCTGTTTATTGAGTATTGCTCAGTTAAAGTAAATTTCATACTGAATTTAATGCTGGTTCTTGCATAATCTTTTCATAATGGTTTGCAAGTGCCCAGTACTCAAAGCTAGCTAGTAACGATAGCAGGTGTACAGAGCAGCAGCTCTCCCTGACAGCTTCAGAAAGTTGCAGATGCTCTGAGCACGCTGGCTTTCTGATTTTGCTAGTTTCTTTGCAAACATTTGTAACAGCTGATTGCAGAAGTCCCAGCAGGTTCAGCTCTGCCACCCCTGCTGCTGCATGGTGCCTGAGGTGCTCAGGACAGCAGCTGTGCTGCTGAAGGGGAGCACCAAGGCAGCAGGGGATGTGGAGTCCAGAGCCAGTGAAGGTAGCCTTCCATGGCTCTGCTGATGCTAGGGATGTTTCTGTGTGCAAGTTAGCAGTATCCTGAGGTGCCACTTTGTTCTCCAGCGTTAATTCAACTTGCTAGAAGAAGGCATTCCTCAAAAATACTTTCCTGTGGGAACAACTGTGACCTGACTCCTCTGACTGCAGCTGTGTTCTTAAAGCTGTGCATTGTATGAAGGTCTGGTCCTGAAAGCTGATGCTGGCCCCAGTTCACCTGCCCTGCTTTTGGGGTTTCTTGCAGAGGCTGTGGTGTGGCAGCCTCTGCCCTATAACAGTGAGAAACACAGTCCTGGGTTCAAGGGAGCCCTGTGTCCCACTCTTTGAATCTGTGAGACCAATCACCTCTTCCAAGCCCAGGAGCATAGAGGAAGTCGGGCAAAACCACTAGGATGGTGGGGATGAGTGGATGAAGGGGGAACTCCTGGAAGAATTCCAAGACAGAAAGGAAGCCTCCAGAGGATGCAAGCACAGACAGGTAGCCTGGGAGGTATACAGACAAATTGTCTAATTGTCAGGAATCCCCTTGGGAAAGCCAAAGCCCTGGTACAATTAAATGTGGGCAGGGACATCTAGGACAACAAAACTTCTGTTTTTACATTGGTGGTAAAAGGAAGAACAGGGAAATTGTGGGCCCTCTCTAAAAGGAAGCAGGAGGCCTGGCGACCTGGGAGATGGAAAAGGCTGAGTCAGTAACTTCACTGGCAGATGTCGCAGTCACACCACCCATGTCACAGAAGGCAAAGGCATGGATTCGGAGAATGAAGAACTGCCATCTGTAGAAGATCAGACTGAAGATCATCTAAAGAACTTGAAGATATGCAAGCCCGTGGGGCCTGGTGAGAA